CTGAGAGGGTTCGCCGCGGCTTCTCTTTCTACGCTTATTCCTCTCATTTCCCGCCATCGAAACGCGCCAATTCGAAATTTCCTATACGGCCTCTCCGACGCGTGAAAAAGGTATCGATTCCTCCTCCACGCGCGCGGACGAAGAAACGTGAGGCGATCGCTCTTCTACGTGAAAATTCAATAATTTCGATTCTCGAGGAGGAAACATAAGATGAATATCCTTCATAGAGGCATAGAAAATTTAAAAATTTCGATTTTCGATAGCCTTTTTGTATCAATAATGTAATTGCACAGAGGAAAAAACGTAAGGTGGTCGTTCTTCAGGATACGTGAAAATTCAAAAATTTCGATCCTGGATAGTTTTCACTGCATAGAGGAGGAAATGTAAGACGAATGTTCTTCATGAAGCGTAAAAATTCAAAATTTCGATTTTCTATAGCCTCTTTGTATTAATTTCACAGAGGAAGAAACGTGAGGCGATCGTTCTTCAGGATATGTGAAAATTCAAAAATTTCGATTCTGGATAATTTTCAGTACATAGAGGAGAAAATGTAAGATGAAGGCTCTTCACGAAGCGTAAAAATTCAAAATTTCGATTTTCGTTAGCTTCTTTATATTAATTGCACAGAGGAAGAAACGTGAGGCGATCTCTTTTCAGGATACGTGAAAATTCAAAAATTTCGATTTTCGAGGAGGAAAAGTAAAACGAATATCCTTCACGCTTAGAAAATTCAAAAATTTCGATTTTCGATAGTTTTCACGTGCATAAGGCAAATATCCTTCACGACATATGGAAAATTCAAAATTTCGATTTTCAATAGCCTCTTTGTATTAATTTCACAGAGGAAGAAACGTGAGGCGATCGTTCTTCAGGATACGTGAAAATTCAAAAATTTCGATTCTCGAGAAGGAAACGTAAGGCGAATATCCTTCACGCGTAGAAAATTCAAAAATTTCGATTCTGAATAGTTTTCACGTGCATAGAGGAGGAAACATAAGACGAATATCTTTCATGTCTTCACGACATGTGGAAAATTCAAAATTTCGATTTTCGATAGTTTTCACGTGCATGAGACGAATATCTTTCATAATGCGTAAAAAATTCAAAAATACCGATTTTCGATAATTTCTTTGTATAATTATCGTTGCACAGAGAAAGAAACGCGCTTCGATTTCAGGATACGTGAAAATTCAAAAATATCGATTCTCGATAATTTTCAGCATAGAGGAGGAAACGTAAGACGAATATCCTTCACGACGCGTGGAAAATTCAAATTTTTTTTTCTTTCACATATGATTGTCGCACAGAGGAAGAACGTAAGACGAATACTCTTCATAGTGCAAATTCAAAAATCTCGATTTTTCGTATGCGCGGAAGATGAAACGTAAAACGAATACTCTTCACGATTCAAGATTCGATTCTCGATAATTTGTACATAAGTGGAGAAAGAAACCTAAGGCGGTCGTTATTTAAGATGCGTGGAAATTTCGATTTCGGATAGTTTTCACGCTTGCACGGAAGAAGAAACGGCGTGAAAATTAGAAATTTCGATTCTCGATGCCTTCTACGCGCACAGAGGAAAAAACATAGGGCGAAACCCTTCTTGAGACGTAGAAATTAAAAATTTCGATTCTCGATGGCTTTCACATATGGTGATCGTCGCGAATACTCTTCACGAAACGTGAAAATTCAAAATTTCGATTCTCGGTAGCCTCGTTGTATAATTTACGTTGCACAGAAGAAGAAACATAAGGCGATCGCTCTTGAGAACACGTGAAAATTCAAAAATTTCGATTCTCGATAGCTTCCACGTGCATAGAGGAGGAAACGTAAGACGAATATCCTTCACGACGCGTGGAAAATTCAAAATTTCGACTTTCACATATGGTGATCGTCGCGCAGAGGAAGAAACATAAGACGAATACCCTTCACGACGCGTGGAAAATTCAAAATTTCGACTTTCACATATGGTGATCGTCACGCAGAGGGAGAAACGTAAATCGTTCTTGAGAATACATAAAAATTCAAAAATTGCGATTTTTGATAGCTTCCATGTGCACAGAGAAAGAAAAATTCAAATTTCGATTCTCGTATATGGCTTCTCGCATATATAGACTTAAAAATAAGGCACTTACGTACGCCTCATAATACTCTCTTGGAAATGAAAAATATAGACGCTAGAAGAGGGGAGGGAAGGTCGGCGGGAGGGGCCTTGGGTCCCGAATACGAGGCGAGGCGCCCTAATGGGATCGGCATCAAGTCGTTAACATGACAATGCGGATCCTAAACGGTGCGCTTATAGGTATGCGTGTACAGCGGTGTAAGTAGCAAGCAACGAGGCACGTACGGCGATTAAATGCATGTCGCGTCTGCCCGATGCGTACGACCGATAGGGTCGCGAGGCATCTTGTCTCCAAATACGAGCCTTGTTATGATAATCGCTCGCTCGCGCCCCCGTTATACGCCACCTCTCCCTTCGCGCCTCCCTCCCCACCACCATTTTCCACTCCTCAGTTTCCTCTTCTTCGAAACGAAACAGTCGATCTACCTCTCTCTCTGTTTCTCTCTTTCTTTCTCTCTCTATCTTCGAAAGGTCCCAGGCCACCAAAGGGAGACCAAGTTCTGGCTCGTATTGTACGAACGACCGCGGATATTTCCCGTCTACGAATAAATAGATCGCGTTACATAGAGGACGGAAAGGTGACCACGGTCGTTATATAGAAGGAAATACAATTCGAGGCGCCGTCGCGTTCATCAAACTCGTAATAATTACCAGGGAGAGGGAGCTTCGAAGGATGATTTCGAATTTCGGAATTGGAAATTAAAGAACGATATGTACGAGAGGGAGGAGGTCAACCGCATCCATAAACGTAATTTTTCGAAAGAGAATATTCACTCCGGGCCAGTGAGAGGCTCTTATCTGCAACAGCTGCGCGAACTCACTCACGTGACTCGCAACTTCTACAGTCTACCGCGAGACGTCACTCGTTCCGATCGTCTTGTCTATCCGCCTAACTGGCGGACGTCCAAAATCGGAAGGACGACTTGCTTCGTTTCCGACGCTTTGTCGATCGCGAATCTCGCGTTCCGTCCGCCCAGACGACGACGGCCCATTTGTAAACAGCGTTTAGAAGAAGTCTACGGCAACTATCGAGACGCGATCGATATCTCAAGAAGCGGTTCCTTTCCGTTCCATATTGCGCCCGTAAAGCTTTCTACGCGCTTTGCTGCGCCATATAATCCCACGATATTTTCGCGAATCAGCGACGCGCCCCTCCACCAGATAACAACAATACTTTTCTCTCGATCTCTCGAAATTACGTGTAGTCGAGTACGAGACAGAGAGAGAGAGAGAGAGAGAGAATTATCATAGATTCGAGTATCGCCGTTGAACGAGGACGATAACAGTAATAACAATAATAATAATAGTAATAATGAAAGACAAGAGGAGAGGATCGGATGCACGACGGTTCGTGGTTCGTGGGATTGTGCACGCGCGTAACAAATAAGGCAGCGAGGAGAGACAAATGACGCGGAGAGGGATCGGCGGAGCCGCTCCGACACAAAGCATCCCCCGAACACCCTTTTCGAGTCGGAGGTGACGTCACTGACAATGGAAGGTCGAGCTGTGATTAAAGATCGAGAGACTCCGTAAAAACTCCTTCAAAAGTGTAGGAACGAAGGAGGAGAGGCGGCGGGCCTACCGGCGTGAAATATTGCCTCCGCGGCACCCGACAGCTATATGACGTTTCCGAAGGGCATGAAAGAATCTCTCTCTCTCTCTCTCTCTCTCTCTCTCCCCCCCCCCCTCCCCCCTCCCCACTCACCCAAAAAAAACACGAAGCGCGAATCTCTCGATTTCGAAATGACAATCGTCTCGAGAGAAGTGTAACGAGATTATAGAAGAGAGGGAGAGAGGGAGAGTTTAAGTTTAAAATCGGTTAATTTAGCGGGCCGAGGGCCGGTCAACGAGGCGCCAGGGCATTTAATCGGTGTTGTTGGCGAGAAGAGGGGAAGGGGAGAAAACGTGATCGGGAGAGGAGAGACAACCGCCACTCGGACTACTCTCGTATATTATTCGAATTGATGCGGTGAATTGGCGCTGACGACATCTCTCTCTCTCTCTCTCTCTCGCTCTCGCTCTCGCTCTCGCTCTCTCGCTCTCTCTGCCCGCCAATCCGACCGTTTGTTTATTGACCGTTGCGTTGGCGGGGACATTCCTCGCGGGTGTACGCGAGGTTTTAATACGAGGCGCCCTCTCCTCCCCCCCCCCTCTCCTCCTTTTCCATGCGCTTACGCATGCACGGGCTCTCGAGCCCGAAACTCGTCGTTCCAATTCCTTGGAGGGCGGGCCGCCACGTGCTCGTAATGGCCCATTACGGCGCGTCACCCGTGACAATCCGCGTTACGGTCCCTGGTCGTGTCCCTGAAACCAAGTAGTTCGGTGCTGCTGCTTTCGTTTCCTTCTTCTGTTCCGTTCCGTTCTCTATGGAGGATACGGAGGGGAGGGGGGGGGGGGAAGAAAGAAATCGCGAGAAGTCTCGATGATCGGTGGGAGGGGGGAGGGGGAGGCGAGGGGAATTTTCGACCGCGAGAGACAACAATGGTGGCGCGTTAAAGCGCGGTCGGTTTCAGGGAGGGGAGGGGAGGGGAGGGGAGGGAAGGAAAGGGACACCGTCGCCGCGTGATTAGTCCGACGGAGGGAGTTTCGCACGGGGTCTCTCTCTCTCTCTCTCTCTCTCTCTATCTATCTATCTATATATCTATCTATCTTTTTCTCTCTGTCCTCTCAGTTGGCACGCATTCCAACGAATCCCTCGCCTCTCATCATTCGACTGCGTGTCTGCTAGCCCGCGGGCTCCCGACGAGGTTTAAAAATCCGCGTCGAATAGGGAATATAACTCCTCTATCTCTCTACCTCCCTCCCCCCTTCGCCCGGCGCCATCACCAGTTTAACCGGGGGATCTTTCCTCCCCCCCCCTCCTCCTTCTCTGTTTCAGACGCGTGCGGGTTGTCGGACGTTGCCCACATCGAGTCGCTTCAGGAGAAGTCGCAGTGCGCGCTCGAGGAGTACTGCAGGACCCAATACCCGAACCAGCCGACGAGATTCGGCAAGCTGTTGCTTAGATTGCCGTCCCTGAGGACGGTCTCGTCCCAGGTGATCGAGCAGCTGTTCTTCGTACGACTGGTCGGGAAAACGCCGATCGAGACGTTGATCAGGGACATGTTGCTCAGCGGCAGCAGTTTCAACTGGCCCTACATGTCCACGATGTGACACACTGTCTGGCGACACTTGGCTTCCGCGTAATGATCAACCAACCGCCGTCAACCAATTACCCCTCCCCCCTCCCCTTCGAACAACAACCTCCTTCGAACGACGCCGCCGCCACCACCCGATCGCCGATCGTGAAAACAGGGCCCGACGCGCGACGAGGGAAGATGGTCGCCGCGGAGGAGAGGACGAGCGACGAGGAAAGGAAGGAAGGACAAGTTCGTGTCAACGTGTGAAAACGGGAGGAGAAGACGTCGTCGCGCGTTTCGATCGCTTTTCTCGATCGCGATTAACGACAATAAGTGGAGGAGGAAGGGGATAGAAGAAAGGGGCGCGAAGAAATCGTGAATTGATGGTCGATGGGGGAGGGGAGGGGATCGGCGAGAAGACACGCTTAGTTAGTTTTTCTTCGCCTTCCTCCCCCGCCACCACTTTCGTTGCGACGGGCAAGCTTAACTTAGCGATGAGCGAGCTTATTTCCCCTCCCACGATCGGAAAAAAAGCGACGTATGGACGAGGAGATCTGTCTCGTTATTATTTAATCCCTCTCCTCCCCCCTCCCCACTCGATCGAAACGATTGGGAATCGATTACGTAAGCAACGATTACGATTATTAAGACGATTCGAAGAAGCTCGAATAAACGACGCGCGCGACCAGCCTGTAACTGGACGAACGCCTATATTTTTTTCTGAACGCGGATATATGTTCGATCGAGGGCTGGTCGCGAGTCACGAATTCGAACATATATATATATATATAAAATGTTATTATACGAGTTGGCAACGCGGTGGACGAACAGCGACGATCCTCCGGAATACTCGGGGGGAGGGGACGCAATGTGATAATAAGCGTACGTGGAGATTCCCGAAACACGGTGCTTTCTTACTTTATAAATAAATGAATGAATAAATAAATAAATAAATAAGTAAGTAAGTAAATAAATAAATAAATAAATAAATAAATAAATAAATAAATAAATACTGTACGATAAAATGCCGGGGCTCGACGCGTTGTACAGGGTTGGCCGTAGTAGTGGAGGCCGGCGAACGAAGAGAGAAGAGATAAAGGAAGGCGGGGGAAATGATCGAAGACTGCGCCCACGACACGCGTACGTGGCAACGTCGAACTAGTTACTTACAATTAGACAACCATTTAGGGGTATATGGGAATATTTCTAATATTTTTAAGCAGCGATCGATTTTCTTAAAAAAAAAAAATTGCGACGCGCGCGCGCAAACACACACGCAGAACACGAATATACACATACAAATACACATATAACATATATACACACATACACAATATATATATATATATATATATACGCAAGGAGCGAAGGAGCAACGCGTCTCGATGAAAATCTACGAGGCGTACGCGGTCCAGGCGATCGGGAATCGAATCGAATCGAATCGAATCGAGTCGAATCGAGTCGAATCGAGTCGAGTCGAATCGAGTCGAGTCGAGTCGAGTCGAGTCGGATCGAGTCGAAGGTAGCGAGCTTTTCGAGCGTCTCGCATGGATTCCACGCCCGAGACGCGTCCCCCTCGTCGAACGCGATTTTTTTCTCCCCGGAGAAATTGTATTATATATATATCAAACACGAATGTGCGTTGTGTGGTTGAATGTACGTAGACCGAAAATCGGACATCTATGTAGCGTTATGTATAAAGGCGCGAGAAGATTTTTGTATAAAAAAACGTGTACATAATTAATATATATGCATATATATATATAAAAAATACAGATATAAATACGATTATAAATATACGAACGTAAGCGCGAAATATAAACACGTAATATACGTATGAATGTAAAGAAATATATATGTCAGAATTACAGTCTCTTGCAATCGTTCAATCGTATATCCAACGAAGAGGAGAGTGTATATATATATATATATATATATACATATGCACACACACAAAGGTAAGTTCTGGAGAGAATGAAAAATCGACGATATCTCTCCCCCTCCCCTTTCCTTTCCCCTTCCTCGGACGAGCTAGTTCGAAGGAGAAGTATGGCACTCTAAGTATTTTCGAGCTAACAACCATTTCCGAGCATTCCTGCACGAACGTATTTCAATATAAACAATCGCCGGGCGAATTTCCCTGGGCGCACGGCAGCGCGGCAGCAGTGATTTCTGGCCGACGTGACGGCGATGCCTTCGTCTGCGAGCGCGACCCCGAGTGCCCTCGCTCGAGGAACGCAACTCGTTTCGATTCTTCTTTAACCTCTCTCCTCCTCCTCCTCCTCCTCCTCTTCGCTCGGTTGTCCGCTCGGCTCGCGGACTGCCACTCTTCCTCTTCTTCGTATGCCTGCCCGAACGCTAAACGTAAGTAAGTAAGTAAGAAAGAAAGGAAGAAAGAAAGTAAGTAAGTAAAGTAAGTATGTATCCTTGTTTCGTTTCTCTTGGGATTCCTCGCGGTGACGGAGCTTTCGCGGAATTTTCAAACTGTACCGAAACGAAAATCCAGAAGAAATTCCAGAAACGTTTCGCAGGTGTCTGCCGGTATATACGGAGTTCGGAAGCGTGGCGAGCATCGCGCGTTCTACGAGGAGAACGCATAAAACGGGGATAAATCACGCGAAGGATGCCGAGTTGGGCTAGGGCGGAGAAGCAAAAACCCGAGTGCGAGAGAAAGAGAGATCGGTGGCGTGGAGCGCGGAGAGCCTCGACGAACCAGCCGGATGCTTAGAATTTCGATAAATCTAACTTGGCAGGAGAAACAAACGGCCCAGTGAGAGACTTTTTTTCCGTCCGATCATCGTCCGCCGTTTTTGGCTCCCGTTCAAAAATCTCGCTTCTTTTTTCGTACACTCGAATCCGTATCCTGTGCACGCGATACGTAAACGAATAATGTGCGATAGACGGACGAAATTAACGAGAGCTCGATTCATCGAGAGGAATTAACGCGAGAACGGGATCGAGGGGGGGGGAGGGGAGAATCGCGATATCGCCCGACTCACGGTTACGTCATCTTCTATCACCGTCCACCATTCGCTATCGACGATATCGACGAGAACCGCCTCTCCCCGCCGGCCCGATCGAACTTAACTTTCGAGTAAACAGCCATTCTTACTGCTGTCTTTCTCCAATCGTTATGCGACTCGACCGCGTAACGCGATAACGACTGCTCGATACATAAGTAACATCGATCATAACGCGTCGTACGATGAAATCGAAAAGTCGAGTTTCAATTCGAGATGCCTCGGATTCTGATCAAACGTGCGATCAAAAATGGCCACCTTACGAACCGTATACCGGTGAAGAACACGCATCGATCAAAGAGTACGCGGCTCGTCAAACCGACTTCCGTGTCCGTGTTCCGTTTCTTGATGGAGTAATGCGCGTTCGTTGTGTTTCAATTGGTAGCCCCTGCCCACACGCGACTCGCGATTCGTTCGATCGAGCCTTACCTCGCCCCTGTCGCGGTGAGGACGCGTGAACGCGACGAACGAGGCCGTTTTTAACGAGCTCGCGCGCCTACCCCGTACACGCGGTCCCGCGTAAACGAGAGGCGGAGCAACCGCTTCCAAGAGGTCAGAGGCCACTACCAATCGCAATCTCCCGATAACCACTCTTCTCACTGGCTCCTCTCCTCGGATCAACGCTGAAGCGCCACTTTTTTCCTTTCTATTTACACGTACCGAGGATGCGTGGACGCACATGCGCCGCCTTCTCCTTTCCTCCCTTTCCCACTTATTCGCGTCACTTTTTCCTAGGTTACGCTGTTTTTTCATCAATTGTCGTAATCCGTAATAAGACTGAAAAACCTAACCGGATCTCAACTCGAAGGACTATTCGTCACAGGAATCGATCTCGTCGCGGTTCTCTCTTCGACCGATGCGATAAACGATGTGTCGCGATATTCGCATAATCGTTCGATTTGTACACGTCATTCTTTCGCTCGTAACAATTTTCGTCGAGGCGGTGTTAAAAGATTCGCGCATGCCTTTCGATTTCCTATCGACTATGTTTTACACGGAAAGAATCATTTTTTTCTTTTTTTTCACTCACGTTGCATGCTATTTATGTATATATACGTGTGCTTTTAACTAATCGTTTCTTTTCACTACATGACTATTTGAACTACGTAACAATAGAACTATTGAACTACGGAATCACGTATCTTCGTTTCATTGTTTTATCTTCTTTAAGTGGTTTTTCTTCTTTCACAAATGATTCATAGGTAAGTACGATCCATCCAAATAAAAATAAAAATTTTGCTTGTTCTTGTCATTTTTTTCAACTGAACATATGTGGAATCGGAACGAAAAATATCGCGGCAAAGTTTTTGTAAAACTTTTCTCCGATTATCCTATTAGCGCCATCGTTCGATCAATTTTTGAATCTCTTACGTCGTAGTTAAAACCAATAATATTGTATATATACTATCGATATCATTCTGTGAGTTTCGATTTGATTCGGTCAAGGAGAATCGATATTGTTTTGATATTTAATGAAAATATCGATACATGAGTTCGATACTGAGAACGATACGACGATAGATATTAATACGATGTTAACGATCACGAACATGTTTGATTCCAAAGTACACGTCAGAAAATTACGTAAGTAAGTAGATATTTGTATATCACATATTTACTGTAACGATTTACGGTTGTTTATAGTTGACAAATGGAAAATATTTTTGTTTCTTATTGATAGAATTTTATAAGTGGCCTTTCAAATTCTGAGTTATCAACTCGGTATTTTAATGTAATATTTTTACAAAATTATAATAAAATATTCAAATTCATCGTTACCATTTTATCTTTTGCAAATATATATGATTGTAATTATGTTCGATGTAAAGCATATTTAGGTTAAAACATCATGGTGTAAAATCATGAGAAAAATTCTTCGAGTATTCGTTAAATAAAAGAAATTTTAGTAATTTATAAAGTTAATATAATACATCAAACTATATAAGCATTTATAAGTATTTCTTTTCGAAGATAAATAATCAACCGTTTAAACCAAAATATTAACAAGTTCGAATTAAATATTTTTTATTATTTTTTAGGTATAGATCATTTACACGTATAAACCATTATCTTTTCCATTTAACATTCATTTATTCAACAGTCAACTTCTAAATATTATTTTTATTTCTAATTCTATGATATTCTTTTTTTTTTTTTTTTTTTTTTAGAAAGTTAATATAAGAGAGCATCTTTATCGACATTATCGACGGATAGTCAGTTAATTAATAGAGCATCACAAGCGCTTTCGTCTTGTTCTTTTTCTTCCTGTATAGTTGAAAATAAATCGTTATAGAAAGAATGTACATGTTGAATTATTGCATTACGAATCCTTTTTCTTTTAATTCTTTTTCTTCTATTATTAAATTCAGTGAATATAATAACAAATCAACAATTAGAATCAGTTAATCGACGATGTAGTTAAATCGATCTTCAAATGTGATTTATAATAAATGAAATGTAAAAAAGTAATAGCCAATTATATCGATCTCGAAAATCAAATTAAAATAAAATATCATATTAAATCGATTTAATAAAATAACTAATGACTAAAATAAAAAACAATTTATTAACGACAATATCTATAATTACACTATAATGTATCGCGCGTGGGAAGCAGTATTTCATTTGATAATATCGCTTAGCTTTTTTTTCTTTTTTTTTTTTTATCGGACTGTTAAATGGATTAACCATCGTGTAATCGATTGAGATAACCAGCAAAGAGAACCTATTAGACGATAAAATTAAATCGAATAGCGATGATTTTGAGGATCAAAATGTTTTGGTGGTTTCGTGCAAATCCTGATAAAATTGTAAGATAAAACGAAAAATAACGAGACGAGAGAAGATTAGATATAACGAATTTGAATAAATTATCAACCACATTCAAACTTCTGAAAACAACTATTTTCTATTGGACATTGTATTCTGTTCATTCTTTACCTCACATTTCGTAAGATAAATCAATAAATATCAACGCGAAACTAACGTTATATGCGTATATATATATTTATATTAAAATTAAACGTGCACGCTGATGAAACGCGTCTGGAAACACTCAACAATGATCAATATTGTTTTTGTTGAGAGTCGTGTTACGAAAGATCCGTTCAATGGTCAGTTGAACGATCAGATGCATAAAATGTATATGTACATATACGATAATCAGTTTGTGCAACACTAGAGACACTATTCGTAATATTTTTGTTTTGAAGAAAAAAAAAATAATTACACGCATCGACCCAATTATTAAACAATTACGAATTTAAAACATCTTGTCTCATTTAGCGTTTCCTTCGCGTCATTATTATTAGAAACTGTCGTACGTAAATTACAATGACACGAGAGATAATTTAATTAATCGGTCAAAACATCGTAAAATTATTCTGACGAAATGTTATCTCTTTTTTTATTCGACATACAATTCGATCTGCACTAGACACTCGAGTGCTTTCGAAATATATATTTACAATATACACCGACAACGATTATCGCATAATTTATTAAAGTTTTTTTTTTTTTTTGTTTAAATATGTTCACAAAAAATTGATAAAAACTTGTACACGCGTGTATTAATTATTTCGATTAACTTTCAATTTTAGTAGACATTTCTTTCGAGTCGATGTATTTTCGTAATTTTCGTCTAAATTTCACGAATTATATAATTTCCCAACTTATTCACGGCATTGCATCTCTAATGCATATGTATTCTTTATGCTCAGGGCACCAAACATTTGCTGCTTCGAAGGCATCTCGTGGCTATTGTTTTATTTTATTTAACTTCTCTTTTCAAAATAAATAAATCGTGATTACTTGGTTCGTTTAGTCGGTAGCATTGGACGCCAAAGTATCTCTATCGGTAATATCAGAATATTTCAACTCGACGAAGTAATAAGTTGTTAAAGATAACTTTCTCGCGTTCTCTCTTTCTCTCATCCTCTCTTTCACTCTCTCTTCTCTTCACTCTACTTTTTTCTCCTCCTATAGTTTTTCCTTTCGTATTTATTGTGTAAATCTTTCTGCACTCTAGCGCCTCTTATCTTTCTTTCACACGTTTCGCGCGCGCAGACACACGGTTACGGATGCATCCTGTACATTACACTAGCATTACACACTCACTTCCTGCTTTTTTTTTTTTTTTCATTTCTATCGGTGCAAAAAATAGTCTTGCTATTATACTTTTTACTTCGCGTTTTTTTTTTTTGCGTTTAAAAACTGTCGATTAAAATTGTACTTCATAAATCTAAGCACTCTGTATAGTAAAGTTAATACATCGAAATCCGTTCATTTCATATGATGCAAAGGTACTCGCGCTTCGAGCATGAGAGTATGGAGTACTAACGTTACATCTCATCGTATTTACGTCCATTTAGATACACTAGTTATACGAAGAATTACGCGAAATATATTCTCTCGTTGACAAACTTCAAGGTAGAATATCCAGGCTCGAAATTTCACATTTCAAATATCGGTACATGATCTAACTCGAGATAATCGAGTATTCAATCGGGTATTTCATTCGATTACAAAAGCATTTCCGTGAATATTTACTTCACATCGCGCGAAACGTTACGATGGAACTGAGGCCGTTCAAATAAGTAAAGCAACAACAAAGCGAGTTTTTTGCTCCACACTCGTACGCTAGAAGTGTTCGCGGACAAAGCTGTACGAATTTAATGCTTTGTAAATATATATAGTATATACTACGTGCAGCACATCGCGTTGCGTGAAGTTGTCGTTAACACAAGACACACCGGATCGTATTAGGAAGGAGCGAATAACTTTGATACAAGTACTATCAGCCGGAACGCGATACGTCTCGAACGTGCACACATACGTAGGTACTTTTTGTATGTTACTTCCTTACGGTTATCTATTTAGATGTCTTGTAGCTTATTTATCATTAGTACTATTACTACCACGGTGCCCTGGCTGTCGGTAAACTACACAACGTATAGCTATATTAGTATAGCTAAATAAATTAAATATATATATATAGCTATGTTTTTGAAATAAATCTATATTCATCGACCGAGATTGCGTTATGCACCATTCGTGTGTTTTTCCTTCGTGTGTAATCGATTTTTCACAATCCATTCGCTTCTGTTAGATGCTGAGCGAGATATCGATCTCTCGAATCTCTCCATCATTCGATCAGGTTCGATAAAAAGAAAAGATAGGTTAATAATTGTCCGAGTTGAAAATAGAAATATTTGATTCAAAATTGAGTGGGATGTATTTAATAGAGATGTATTTGGTAGAGAGAAAAAAAAAGAATGAAAATATTCGCGGAAACCGAGTAGGAAATTTGGTATTCCCCGTATATAATTATAGATTTCTATTTTAATTAATGTAAAATTATTATAAAAGATATATACATCAACCACTAGATTACATCGATTATCTCTTGATTAACGTTTCCCTCTTTGTTGTTCGATTATTCACTATGCTTTACCCAGCGCCATAAATTTTCTCGTTCTCGCATTTTGTAGTTTCTGAATTGGGCTGCGCATGTACATGTGTTAGGAACCTTAATAAGGCAACGAAGGAGCCCTGAATTTTACGAATGTAATCGATTTTCGTTTTCACATTCTTTAAGATGCTTTTAAAGCTATACAAATTTCACAATGCTCAGGCACGAACGAAACCGTTTATAAATAAGTAATTATTTTATAAGAAAGAGACCCGGTACCTTATATGATTCTCCTTCTACACGCAATTTATTTTCTATACATCGTATTTCTTCTCTTAACCAATTAATTAATTAATTGCAATACATTTTATTTGATAATACATCATATATATCATTGATACAAAAAAAAAAAAAAAAACTATAAAGCACAAAAATTACGCAAAAGCTTGTGCCACGATACGTAAAGATTGATTATTCCATATTACAGCGTTTTCATAGCGAAAATATTTAATTACATGTAAATAAAAAATTAAAAAATATTTGTCGTATACCGATATATACCGATATAAATTTTCGATTATCAATATAATTGTTACAATCAACATAAAAATTAAACAAAATCTATACGATTAAACATATAATCAATTATTTTTCGATCAATTCATAGATAACACTCAGACAAAAGCTCTCAAAAAATATATAAATATAAAATATTCTTTTTTATACCAACAAATTTTTAAATTTTTTTGAATGAAACGTAAGCACAATCGAACAGAGTACAACATTCGTAAAGTTCAGTAATCATTAACAGAGAAAACAGTGATTTGTATACAAAAACTTTTAAACAATATCATATCACAGTACTAGCTATAAATACAAACGTTTAAAAGAGAGCTGGAAACGAGAGCTAAACCAGTGCTTCGTTAGAAAAGGGAGAGAGAAGAAAGAGAGAAAAAAAAAAAAAAAAACACTGAAAGAAGTCCTACGAAAAATTTGTACACGATTTGCGAGAATCACGGGACCGAGGCTCCATCTTTGTTTCTTTTATCATTAATATTTTCACTATAAAAAGAAAGAGAAGGACAGAAAGGAGGGGGAGGGGGGGAAAAAAAGAAAGGGAGATAGCTAGGAAAGAGAGCTTATTATGCTACGTATCGAAGATCGTGGATGGAAACGAGAATATTCACGAATAGAACGATAGAACGAAAAACAAACGTATTTTATAGTTGTGACATCGCTAAAAACGTTACAGTGCGCATGAAAATATGTCGGTTCTTCCTTATCACATGTGCAACGATTTTCGCACCTGCTTGTCTACAAAATATTTATCATTCCGTTTTCTTTGTAAAACAACACGACATTTTTTTTTTTTTTTTTCCTTTTTTCTTTTTATAATCTTTGCCATGTTCGTTTTTCTTTGCCCTTTTCTTTTCTTTCTCTTCATTCGTATCTTGTTGATAACGTATACGTCGCGCTCATCCCGTCACGTATAATATATGTACATGTAAAAGCGACTGGCTGCCGATGATTGACTGGACCGTATTCAGAAGATAAAACGAATCAACCATCCATTCGAGATGTCGTTGATGACAACGGAGGGTACGGATTATGTACCAAGGCCGGAATTCCAGTTGCGTCAGGCTGCTGACTGGTTGAAACCGAGCAAGAAATAGAGTGTTGCTATTTCTTAGTCGGAGTGCCTCGTTGCGTCAATCCTTCGAATCGTTTGAACGTGTAATTAATAAACACCCAGTCCTTGTATATTACTTCTCCGTCTTGAGGCATTGGTGCAGATGCTGCAACCATTCAGAGGGGGGGGAAAAAAAAAAAAAAAAGAAAATTACATTTAATCTTAATTATCAAATATTGTTGTTTTCAATTTAAAAATAGAATAAACGTTTCGTACACTTACGTATTTCCAGTTTCACATCTGGAAATTCGTCGAAATTGGAAGTATCGTCGATGGAACGTACTTCGACTGGGATCGCGGCAGGTCTTTCCCTGATATGTTCCCAGTCCACGCCACGGAAAAAAGGAGCGAGTTTAAGTTCTTCTATACCTCTTTGCGCACCTGAAGGATGTTTAAAAAAAAAATTATTATTATTATTATTATTATTATTATTATTATTATTATTATTATTATTATTTGTGTACAAGAGTAAACAAAAGATATAATATGTTACTCAAAATTTGTACACATATGATCCTAGATATTAACCTAATCTTCTATCAGCTTCGCAACAAAATCTGATTATGGTATCCTTGGCTTCCTCGCTAATAGGAACTTCTGGTGGAAAAACTAAAGTCTCTCTCCAGTTCATAACTTTCCTATAAGTTTCTTGAGGATTTTCGCTGCAGAATGGAGGATATCCTGAAATAACACACATTTGGTCGATAAATAATTAATTCTTCCAAAACAGGATACGGATGATCTAACTATCATCTACTAGAGGAGTAAGATACCTATGAGCATCTCGTACATAATAACTCCCAAAGACCAGCAATCACAAGCAGGTCCGTAACCAGTTTGTAAAAATACTTCCGGAGCTATGTAATCTGGTGTTCCTACTGTACTATAAGCTAACGCTCTCCTATTTCTTTTCCAACTCTCTGCTCTTCTTTTACTGTCCATCGCTCCGCCACTTCCGCTTCCACATGACGTCACTGTAAACAAAATATTTCATCAAAAAATGTCGCTTTTTTTTAATAAGAGAAAAAAATTCAATTCAGAAAGAATTAAGGGTTTCCATTGTGAAGAAATGAAAAGAGAATAACTTACTGAAATCCGAAGGTTTCGCTTGACTAAGATCTCTGTAGAAATCTGTTCTATGAGATTTTTTCAAACCCGTGCATAATCCAAAATCAGAAAGCTTTATATGACCTCGCGCATCTAATAACAGATTATCCGGTTTGATATCTCTGAAAAAAAGAAAAAAGGTTATTTTTTATATATAGTTTTTTTATATATAGTTTCTTGAATCTTATATATATATCTTACCTATGAATAAATCCTAATTTGTGAATAGAATCGATTGCCAACGCAGTCTCAGAAATATAAAATTGTGTACACTCCTCGGAAAGCGTGTCTTTCTTCATTAGCAGTGTCATCATGTCACCTAATAAATTATTGTATTACGATTTTATCGAGTATTACGATTTTATCGTTCAAACATACATAATAAAAAGGTATATTTAATCACAAATGAGAATGTAATAAATATTTATCGTGTAATTACATATAATTATGCATAATGAAATCAAGTTGCGTATAATCTCGAATCAAACGCGTATATATTATATATACTTTCAATTGATAATTCAATTCCGATATCGAGAGAATTTAAAAAAACAACAAGATTAGTTTTATAAGATAAGGAGAAAAAAAGAGAAGAGGATAGAGAAGAGAATAATATATTTGCGTGGAAATAAAAATGGCTTACCGCCTGGAAGAAACTCCATGATTAGATACAGGTTTATAGGATCTTGAAAGCTATAATACATTTTTACGACCCATTGGTGATCAGCCTCCACCAATACGTCTCTTTCGGCCCTGACGTGCGCTACCTGCTCCTTCTCCAACATGTCGGCTTTTCGTAAAATTTTCATCGCGTACACGTGCCCGGTGTCCTTCTTTTGCACGAGTCTTACCTTTTTTGACACGCAAGAGAGAATTTTATATATAAATATAATATATATAATATAATATATATATAAATCTCGAACCGATCGCATTATATATATATATATATATATATATATATATATATATATATATACACGCCTCCACGCGGTGAAAAATTTACCTCTCCGAAAGCGCCTCTGCCGATAACTTTGAGAGGTTCGAAGTCTTCGACGCCGAGCCGAGAGCGTTTCAAGCGAAGAAATTCAGTTTCTTTCTGGGCATGTTGCAACCGTTTCTCCTGCTTCTGTTGCTCCGACAGTCCTTCGTCTTTCAACGATTCCTCTAATTTCGCAAGCCTCTGCTTTCGCTCGATATGCTGGGCTATCAAATTGCTGTAGTAATTCTCCAAGGTTACCTAAACTCAAAAACATATAAATCTTGAGGTAAAGAAAACAGTTATATAGCGTGTATTAGGAAATGGATTAGAAAAGTATTTCTTTCTAAAAAGACGAAAATTATTTTTTTTTTTAATATATAATATATTCGTTATTCAAATTTTAATTCGAAACGATTTGAAATTGATTAGATGGATAGAGATAAGACTGAGATAGAGATAGAAAAATAGAGAGAGAGAGAGAGAGAGAGAGAGAGAGAGAGGAAGGGAAGGAAGACTCACCTTGGCCTTTGTAGCCTTGTCCAATGTATGCCCGCTGAAACGGATCGTGCTCTCTGTGGCCGCCATCTCCAACACCCCTGTAATACACGCAAAACGAGGTCACCGAGTGTCGCACTACGATCTCCAGAAGCGAGGTCTCGTACTATGACAATGACACAAATCCTTCCGCATTCGAATATCTCGATGTAATTAAAAACACGGCGCGAAGGATCAGTAACGAAAAATCTTACCACTCGGATCTACCACTGTACCGGTATGTGTCGGTCGGTAATCTGGTAAAAAAATATTCGTAAAAGAACCAATTAATTCTAACTCTCCTCCTTCTCAATACTTTGTACTGCACATCCTCTTTATCCGAAGTGTAAAAGATACGTGGAATACGAAATATTGTATTTAATTAAGAAAAAAAAAAAAAAAAATTTTTGAACAAAACATCTTAACCGAGAAGATGAGAATAAAATTATCCGCTCTATATCCTCGAATCGAGGAGAGACAAGCCACGTAGAAGAAAAAGATAAATCAATTCGTTATTCTTAATGAATTTCCTTAACAAAGAAGAAGACGCAAATACATTAACGAGGAAGGTTCGTTTGGTGGTTAATGCTTGCCTTAAACGTTGCACATCTCGAATGCAGCATGAGCGATCTCGTAAGAGTTGACTAGTTTCTATTAAAATAAACGCCGCGGTGAATATCGGTGTGCGACTCAGTCAAATGTATCCTATTTTACAGAAAGCATGGAGGAGGATCTTTCCTTCAGGATACAACGCAATGACGAGTGTTCACGAATCGAGCGAACTATAGTCGCGAACAAAACGAATAGCGAATATTTACAATATCTATTTTATTCTAATTCAAGCGAGGATACTTACAGCAAGGATTCGAGCGTACAACGAGCAACACGTCAACGCCAACGTTTCTCCCGCGACGTCCCCGTGAATGTGACAACCATAATATTTCTCGACACGGACACGAGGAAGAGGGGAGGGGGGAGACCGAAGAAAGATCGAATAAATAATCACCGGTATATTATTCGATAGATGGAACGGCAACGATTCGCCGAATTCGCGTGTGCATCCGCTACGCGCTCGTCCTCAAGGTATATTTCGCGATCCGATCCTCGTAGAACTAGTAGGGAGTAGGTACAATGACGTCACGCGCTGATTACATTACGGACTGCAAGGCCGTATTAAACTATTCTAGAAGCCGTACTTTGCGCGTCTCTTGCGTTCAGTGTGCAAATAAAGGGTAACACAAGACACGCGAACTATGTTCTTCGCGAGCTCGTTACGCTTCCCGCTTCGCCATTGCGCCACTTGCAATTAATCTAAATTTACAGTTACAGTGTCGGTAACCGGACAATACCATCGAACGTTTCGAACGCCAGAAGAAACTTCGAATCGCCGCCGGTAACTCGTCCTATTGTTCGATCACACTTCAAAAATGTTTAAATTCAAGAAAGATACACGAGTGATTCGTTTCGAAATGGAAATCAAAACAATTTATGTATATACGTATCGAGTATAGAGTTTGGAATAATTAAAATAAAATATCGTCACAGAGATGAAAGATACGAAACAAACGGTGCTCTTCCTACTGTTGATCGTACGGTTTCTCTTCGACACTGATTACGTAAAACATGTTCGTATCGCGCACGCGGTGAACCTTTCAACGATGGAACACACAATGGTTTATCCGTGCAATGACGCATACCGTTATTATTTTCGTTGTTAGCCTGCCCTCCTCTCTTCTTTCGACCTTGTCCGGTAACGAAAAATTCACTCTAAGCCCGTCACACAAGCCTCCTCATTTCCTTTATTTTTTCCTTAAAAATGGACGACCGAGCTTTTTAAACTTTTTCTAGAAACCACAGAGAAGAAATAGATAGGTATTGTCGTAATTAAACTATTTAATTGGATGAGTAAAAATCATGAGTGCAAATTGTGCAATATCCTTCCTGCATGGTGATACTTGCAGCTGAAATGCTGACATTTCAAAAACCTTCGTGTTATATGCTAATTTCTTTGGAAGCTAAAGCAAACTTTCGTAGTCTTTAACGCTAAAGAGCTATAGCATGTCATGAATAAATATACTCGCGTTCAAAAGTCGGAGCTATTCTTGAAGAAAAATAACTTATATGTAAATATTTTTTATAGCTATTATATGTGTTCGTGAAAATATACGTATGTACGTATATAGATAAAAACGAAGTTATTTTGATATATGTATGAACACAAATTTTATGTACCAGAAATCGAAAAAGAAAATATTCGAGATAAATGATAATAATAATCGTATGAAATAAGAGCATGAATAGCTTGCGATACAAGAACGTCGTTGAACTTCAGTTAGAAATCGTGTGAAAGTGAAAACGTCGATTGCATCGTGCTACAGTGACCTCCGATACGAACCAACAAGTAGGAAACTATCGTAAATATACATTCGAATCAAATATATATCCGGATAAATTGGAAAAAAAATCCTTATTTCTTCACTTTTTCCTTATTTTCCTATCAGTCATCGGTTAACTTTCCTTTCACTTGCTCAACTTTTCCTTTTCTTATTTTAAATATCAATGATTACATTTATCGATAGTTAAACGATCTGTTTCTGATTAAACGTTATAAAAACTTGTAGTAGATATAACGAATTTGTATATTGTATATATATATTGTATATATTGTATATATTGTATACTGTATATTATATATATTGTATATTGTATATAACATATTTAAAACATGACTAGATAAATGAAACAATGTTTATCGAAATTTTCAAATATTTACGTATCAAAGTTTTACGATTGAAATCTTCGATATTATACGTACGAAAAAATCACGTCACAAAAAGCGAGAAAACGTATACTCAGCACATGGGGAACTATCAACAAAAATCGCGTGATGCACTGAACAAAATTGACGCGTCAGCGGCAACGCTTATGCGATCGTATCGTTCCATCTATTCTTCAAAGAAATGTTTTCTAAAAATTTCCATTCGTTTGAACGCTTGCTCTTCTTTTAGGTTATGTCCTATCTAACATTTCGATACATCTATAAAACCGTTCGTTTATCGTTCCGTTTGTGTTATCCATGTCAGGACAAATAAATTACACTGTTTTTAGACTTTTATAAAAATACGTAGTACTTTTTAATTTTATCCAAAAAAATATCAAGAAGACATTTGGAACTTCAAATTTTAACGTATCTTAGAAAGTGAAAAAATACTAGGATATTTTTACTAAAGAGGGCAGCACAGATGCATTAAAGGAACATTGAGAAATTTATCTTTTTACCATTCGAACGAACCAACGAAACAAGGTTTAAATTAATAATTCAAATAATAGTTTTATACGTACAAAGTGTTAACGATAAGTGTATATAAGTCCCCATATAAGTAAATAAATAAATTGCTGGTTAAAATATATTCTCGAACGCGATAAAAAGTAAATATATAAAATTTAGTGGAATTCATTATTGATTTCACATCTTTCTTTAGATAAGCGTCTTAATAAAGAAGGCGTTCACGTATAGAATTATGGATAGAAGTATATGTTGGTAACCAGTTAAGGGTGGAGATTACACGTATGCACATATGTAACCCGTACTTATACGTATCGTGCGTTATATGAGCGTACCAACTATCGAGAGCATGAGTCACCCTATGCGTAGGCGTAGATGGTAATACGCTTATCGGCATGAGCGCTTTTAGAAATTATTTACATTCGGCGACCGTGTAATGAAGGCTTTCTGTATGGCGCGGAGACACATACGTTACTAAGTAATTGCGGAAAAACCAATTCCTACGTGATCGACGATTACGAACGTTTCAACGGACGACACATTTTCAAACGCTCGTCACGTTTTCGCGACGGTGAATGAACGGATAATGACCGCCATAAGAATTCCGCATAGACATTCTTCGAAATATTTGCAATTCCCGATGGATCATTCCTGTTTTCAAAATGGATATTATACTACGAAAAACTATGTCGAATCGTCGACGTGCGCGAATTTATATACTACTCGATGACGCGTAAAATCCTCGTTTTCAGCCACACTTTTCTCTCTTCTTTTCAACCTTTCCTTTCTTTGTTTCTTTCTCTTTTGAAATATCCTTATCGATCTTTTACATATTCCAAATATGTATTTGACGTATTATACATGTGTACACGTATATTTGTTAGGTTAGGTTAGGTTCTTTTCTTTACCTCATGCGCGTTTATAATCTGATGAATGCTATTACTTTGAAAGACAGAAATTTTCGCAACCAATGCCAAAGTTGCCACGGATCTAAAAACCAGCATCTAAATTTATCTCGAGGATACATGCGGTGAGTGCAACCATCGATCGATATCTCGCCACAAAATTCAAGAATGGCTTCTTCAATATAATGACAAAACCAATTTAATTCGGATGAATTAATAAATACAGAATGTATACATGCGAATACATTTTGATTATATATATATATATATATATATATATATATTTCTTCATATTCTTCTATTAAAATTTGCATTCTTATTTTTAAATCGAAAAGAAAAACGAATCAATACAATTTTATAAGAAATTTTAAAGCGAAACGAGTTCAAAAAAACTATATATACGTTTTCATTAGATACTTTTATTCGGCTATGATATCTCACGGTCAAGTACGGCTTACTTCTTCGAATCGATATGAAAGTACTTCTTTATGAAATACACTTAGTTTGTGAAATGTACACTTATCTCTTATCGTACGCGTCGAAATACGCGTCACATACGCGATATTATAGCGTAATAAAGCTTAATATACTTTAATAAAAAAAAAAAATATTTCGAAATAAAAGTAAAAAAAAAAAAGATATAGAATCACGGAAAGGAATAACTTTCTAACTGTTAACAATTATTCTTAAAATTACCGAACAAAATTGAATGAATAATTGAAAAAAATGTAGAGAACAATAAATTTCCGTCAATTAACACTTGGATGGCGCGTGTTCGCAAATAATCGCGGTGATTAATTTTTTATGGTCTGTGTATTGATTTTCTCCGAGTAACGCTAAAGGAGAATCCATCGCGTGGTATAGCGGAATT